AAAATACTAATCAAATGAATGCATGAGATAACGGGGAAAAATGTGTGTTGGCCAATCCTAAATCATCTTTGCCACCTTCTGGGAAATCGTGACTGGAGCCAAGCAACTCTTATATAAAGGCGGAGACGTGTGAGGCTCTCAATTTCAGAGGGAAAGAAGGAAGATGCAGTGGCCAGGCATCTTTGATGACCTCTGGCTCCAAGAAACAGAAAACTAACAGTTAATACTTAAAACAAAGAAAAGACACCTGTACATTTTGTTTTGGAAAAGTCGGTATTACAAAGGGGAGATCAAAAAAGAGAAGTTTGCAAAAGCAGGTCCCTTTGTCATTTGGTAATGTGTGGCATCTCAATTGGATTGACCTGCTTTGGTTTCTTTAAAACCTGTCATATTCAATTACCAAATGACAAATCAGTCCTTGGATGACTTGCCTGATTCTATTAGTATACAGACTTAAATGGCTCCATCTAGACTTGGGAGTTTATAACAGTTTGATTGCTTTTGCTATTCTCAGTGGATTAATTATGCCACAAACTAAGTCAAGCTAAGCAATTGTCCAAAACATGCAGGTGTTGGTCTGGATGGGTTTATTTGTATTTACCAAGGGAAAATGGCACAGAGTAATCTGTTTTCTTGAAGCAGCCATTTTTATCCAGAAAATGTCCTAAGTTTGACCCAGGACACTTGGGGAAACTGCTTTTAAATGAACAAGACCAGAGACAATAATAGCACCACAGCAGTGCCCTGGAACCAAGAAATGGAGGGCACGGGGGCACTTTATTATGCTTATTGCTTATTTTTGGTTCATAAACAAGTCTAACACTTTTTTTTTTTTTTTAAAGAGACAGGTTATGCTCTGTCACCCAGGCTGGAGTGCAGTGGTGTAATCACAGCTTACTACAGCCTCCAACTTCCAGGCTCAATGATCTTCCTATCTCAGCCTCCTGAATAGCCAGGACAACAGGTATGCACCACCATGCCTAACCAAGTCTTTTATTTTTATTTTCTGTAGAGACAGGGTCTTGCTATGTTGCCATGACTAGTCTTAAACTCCTGGGCTTAAGTGATCCTTCCACCTTGGCCTCTCAAAGTGCTGGAATTACAGGCATGAGCCACCACACCCCACCTAACACTTTTTTTTTTGAGACAGGATCTCACTCTGTTGTCCAGGCTGAGTACAGTCTGGCTCACTGTGGCCTCAACCTCCTAGGCTCGAATGATCTTCCAACCTTAGCCCCCCAAGTACAGGCAAGCACCACCATGCCCAGCTAATCCTTGTATTTTTTGTAGAGACAGGGTTTCATCATGTAGCCCAGGCTGGTCTTGAACTCCTAGCTCAAGAGATCTGCCTACCTCAACCTCCCAAAGTGCTGGCAGGCATAAGCCCTTGCACCCAGCCAACACTCTTAATTATAGTGGATTTAATAGGACTGAGCATTCTTAAGCTTGCCTGTGAGTGATTTTCTCAATTTATGGCTATTTTACACACACTATCATAAAATAGCTTTAATCTAGTAATCAGATTGTTCTCTGCAGAAAGATTATTATGTCAATGTGCAATAATGAATTCTTGTGAAAAACTGGAGTTTGCAACCATACTGTCCAGAAAGAAGCTTTACTGGAATTGCTGCCTCAAATCGTAAGAGGTTTTTTTTTTACTATTTTTTTTCTTCCTGGATTCAGGTATGAATGAAAGAAAACGAGATCTGGAAACTTGACTCTATTGAATCAAACTCTACTTTCCTCGCTTGTAAATTGGGGTAGGGTAACAACCATGTTGATTATGATGACAACAGTCGGCTTTTCTCCTTGCCTCATAAAATTTTTGTGAGGCTTAAATAACAAAATAATACTGGATGCTTTACATTTGCCTGACACTGTGTATTAGCCCGTTCTCACACTGCTATGAGGAAATACCCAAGACTGGGTAATGTATAAAGGAAAGAGGTTTAATTGACTCACAGTTCTGTATTGCAGGGGAGGCCTCAGAACACTTACAGTCACGGTGGAAGGCAAAAGAGAAGCAGAAACCTTCTTCACAGGGCAGCAGAGAAGTGAGTGCAAGTAGGGGAAGTGCCAGGTGCTTATAAAACCATTAGATCTCGTGAGACTCACCATCACGAGAACAGCATGGAAGAAACCACGCCCATGATCCAATTACCTCCACCTGGTCTCTCCCTTGACAAGTGGGAATTATGGGGATTACAATTCAAGGTGAGATTTGGGCGAGGACACAGAAGCCAAATCATATCACACTGCCTAGTTTATAAATCTCACTTCATTCTCATATAAACTATATCCAGTAGCTGCTTTTGTTGTTGCTCTTCACACTGTATAAATGAGAAAAACCAAGGTTCAGAAGGAGAAATACCTTGCTTGAAATTATGCTTTTGTTATGTGGCATAGTTAGAATTCAAACTAAGTTCTATGTGATCATAAGGTACGCCTGTTAAAGTGAAAGCTTCCTTTTTCCATTTTAACTTCATTTTATATTTCCTTAAACATTATTTGTACAATTATTAGAGTTTGTAATACCTGCACATGATATACAATACCAAAATATGTACTCAAGGGTAAAAAGTGAAAATAAGTCTTCCAGCTGGGCACTGTGGCTCACAGCTATAACCCCAGCACTTTGGGAGGCAGAGGCAGGCAGTTGGATCACCAGCACTCAGGAGTTCGAGACCAGACTGGCCAACATGGTGAAACCTCATCTCTATTAAAAATACAATAATTAGTTGGCCGTGGTGGCAGGCACCTGTAATCCCAGCTACTCGGGAGGCTGAGGCAGAGAATCACTTAAACCCAAGAGGCAGAGGTTGCAAGGTTGCCGTGAGCTGAGATTGCGCCATTGCCCTCCAGCCTGAGTGAAAGAGTGAAATTCCGTCTCAAAAAAAAAAAAGAAGAAAGAAAAGAAAAAAGCAAATATCAAAAATATTGCTGTAATAAATATTCTTATTTTGGGGGAAACATACATGAAGGATAAACTCCTAGTGAGAGAATAGGAACAAGGCTTGGCTTTAGCCCGCCCCACTAGAGCATTCTTTCATGCATCCCCATTGATCACAAAACCTACTCCACTACCTCACTGATACCATCATGTTTGAACCATGCCTTTTCCTTAAAGAATTTCAGCCCAAAGTGATTCTATTAAAGTTAAAAATAAAAAAAATTTTTTTAAATAAAAGAATTTCAGGAAGTGGCCTTAGGAAATAACCAAGGGCTGGGCTGGTGGATCACCTGAGGTCAGGAGTCTGAGACCAACATGGCCAACAGGGCAAAACCCTGTCTCTACTAAAAATACAAAAATTGGCTGGGCGTGGTGGCACGCGTCTATAGTCCCAGCTACTCGGGAGTCCGAGGCAGGAGAATTGCTTGAACCCGAGAGGCAGAGGTTCAAGGCTAATTTTTGTATTTTTAGTAGAGATGAGGTTTCACCATGTTGGCCAGGCTGGGCTCGACCTCCTAGCCTCAAGTGATCTGCCCTCCTCGGCCTCCCAAAGTGCTGGGATTACAGGCGTGAGCCACCATGCCCTAATTGGGCCAATTTTCAATCTCTGCTGCCAGAGAGGCCCTTTCTGCTAATAAAATAAAGCTCTTTTGCTCAATTTATTAATGCCTTGTAGTCTTTTGAATATGGCTGACCTGAATTGGACTGAACTCCACCATATTCCTGCTGAGTGGATGGGTCATTATTGGAATGAGACACTTGCTTCTCAGAGAACAACTTTATTTTGATTTTATTTTTTCCTGAGACAGAATCTTACTCTGTTGCCCAGGCTGGAGTGCAGTGGTGCCATCTCAGCTCACTGCAACCTCTACCTCCCAGATTCAAGCAATCCTTCCATCTTAGGCTCCCTAGTAGATGTGGCTACAGGTGCATGCCACCATGCCCAGCTCATGTTTGTATTTTTAGTAGAGACAAGGTTTGGCCATTTTGGCCAGGCCGATCTCAAACTCCTGACCTCAGGTGATCCGCTTCCTGGGACCTCCCAAAGTGTTGAGATTACAGGCATGAGCCACTGTGCCTAGCCAGAGAACAACTTTAGAATGAAATAAATATGCAGAAGAACATGACATCAAGGATCTATCCCGAAAATATGTGGGTAATTATGACTATTTCCCAAGCATTCTCACACTGATTACTTGAGAGGATGTTGGTTCTGCATGGTGGAGTTTGGAGAAGGGCCAGGATGCTTAGGTTAATATCTGTGATTTATGCAATAGTAACCCCGCCCACCTTTCCCCCCCTAACCCCTCCGGCTCTGGATGGAAAATCCCCACCCATGTGATGGTCCCCGGTCTCTCCTGTAGTCTAACCAATGGTTGACCCAAATGTTTATGTTCTTCAGTGTTTTAAATAGATCCATTACTAGATATTGGAGTCTCTGCTCTCCAAAGTGTGGGGTTGCTTGTTCTCCCAGGAACCAAACGCCCTCTATCATTTTGTTGTTGTTGTTTTGAGATGGAGTTTCACTCTTGTAGCCCAGACTGGAGTGCAATGGCGCAATCTCGGCTCACTGTAACCTCTGCCGCCCAGGTTCAAGCAATTCTCCTGCCTCAACCTCCCGAGTAGCTGGGATTACAGGTATGTGCCACCACGCCTGGCTAATTTTTGTATTTTAGTAGAGACAGGGTTTCACCACGTTGGCCAGGCTGGTCTCGAACTCCTGACCTCAAGCGATCCACTGCCTTGGCCTCCCAAAGTACTGGGATTACAGGTGTGAGCCACCGCACCCGGCCGCCCTCCATCTTAAGAGAGTATGCTTTCAAGGAAATACCCTGCCTACCTTAGGAATAAATGCTATGTAAAGGAAAAAAATAGAGCTGAAAAAAATGGTGCCATTTGCAAAACAAGGAAGGAATGAGATTTAACTGGTGCTCAAAACTTCTCTGATACAAAATATTTGGTCATGTATTCATAATTTGCTTGACATTTTCAGCAAAGCAAAGACAGCAATAACAAAGAAACTTCTTACAAGAGAAGAGAGACACATGGAGCTCCAGAGTTTCTACTGGAACAAGACTCTTCCGTTTTGGTTACATACAGTCAAGTTCGTTTTGTGCCTGAGCCAGTGTCTGATAGAAGGCCACGCTCTCTTCTTTGGCCTGGTCAAGTTTCTCTTCCAGGTCATCAATTGTCTCTTCCAGTTTTGCAACCATTCTCTCTGCAAATTTAGCACGGTTCTCAGCCTCCTTCAGTTTGCCAGACAGAAGTTTAATTTTTTCTTCATATTTGTCCTCCTTCTCAGAATACTTTTCAGATGCAGCCTCCGAAGATTTCAGATAGTTAATGACATTCTTGAGCTCTTCTGCCAGGTCACCACATTTCCGTTCGTACAGCTCCACACGCTCCTCTTCCCTGGCCAGTTTGCCCTCCAGGATGGCCAGCTTTCGAGCGACCTCCTTGCACTTGCGGTCAGCTTCTTCCAGAGTGTGCCTGGCCCCTTGGAGCTGCGTCTCCCGAATCTCCATCTTCTCTTCATCCGTCATGGCCCGGTCTTCTGTCACCTTCATTCCTCCCTCACGCTCATCTGCAGCCGTTCCCGCCTCCTCCAGCTTCTGCAGGGCCGTGACCACTCGTTCCGAGCCCCATCCAACTCCTCCTCAACGAGCTGGAGGCGTCGGTTGAGGACAGCCACATCACCTCCAGCTTCCTCGAGTCGCTCGCTCGCGCCCGTAGCCAGCTGCCGCTGCAGGCCCTGCGCGCGGTCTTTGCCTCTTCCGCCTGCTGCTCTAGGGCCTGAATCTTGCGTTTTACCATCTGCGGCGGGCGCCAGACTGGGCCGGGCTCAGGCGACAGCTGCAGGGCCGCTCCAGTGCCCCCAAGCCTTTGGCAGCGCAGGGGCCTCCCCGGCACCTCTCTCCCGCACTCTACCGCGCCCCCTCTCCCCGACTCCTGTCGGCTGCCACCATCGGGGCGATGAGGTCACCCGCCCTTGCACGGTATCTGTTGATTCTGAGGTTTATTCATACTGACTATAGGAGTCCATTTTCTTGGGTTTTTCAGGTACAATTATAGCAACTAAAGTTTTTGCTTCCATCTTTTAAGTTTTTTTTATTTCTTGTTACTTTTTTCTAATTCCAGTTGAACAATACTGTAATGGTAAATAGCCTTGTCTTATTTTTTATTTATTTATTTATTTTTGACATGGGGTTTCACTCTGTCACCCAGGCTGGAGCACAGTGGCACGATCTGAGCTCACAGCAACCTCCACCTCCCAGGCTCAAGCGATCCTCCCACCTCAGCCTCCCAAGGAGCTGGGACTACAGGCACCCACCACGAAGCCTGGCTAAATTTTTTTGTTTTTTTAGTGGAGGCAGGATTTTGCCATGTTGGCCAGGCTGGTCTTGAACTCCTGACTTCAGGTGATCCACCTGCCACGGCCTCCCAAAGTGCTGGGATTACAGGCATGAACCTGTCTTGTCTTATTCTTGATATTAATGAGAATGTTTCCAGGCTTTTACAAAGAAGCATAATTTGGGAGATACGTTTTCGTTGGCTAAAGAGATATTCATCTATTTCTGTTTCACTAAGCGTTAGAAAAATCAAGAATGGATGTCAAATATTATCAAAAGCATTTTCCGTACAAACAAGATTATCATGTAATGTCAAAATTGCATTTGTAAATTGTATTTATACAATTTTGCATGGTTTGTATTTATGTAATTTTGTATCAATTGTATTTATATGGTGAGTTTTCTTAAGATTAATTTCCTGGTGTTGCATCCCTGCTAAGTTCCTGATTCCTGTGTTAGTGGTATAACTTTTTTTTTTTAGAAGGAGCCTTGCTCTGTCGCCCAGGGTCTTGGCTCACTGCAGCTGCCACCTCCCAGGTTCAAGCGATTCTCCTGCCTCAGCCTCCTGAGTAGCTGAAATTACAGGCATGTGCCACCATGCCCCACTAATTTTTGTATTTTTGGTAGAGGAGGCGTTTCACCATGTTGGCCAGGCGGATCTCGAACTCCTGACCTCAGGTGATCCACCCACCTTTACCTCCCAAAGTGCTGTGATTACACGTGTGATCCACTACACCCAACCAATGGTGTAGTAATTTTAATATGATGCCAGACCTATGCATCAATAGACTTTTGGATTGTTATTTGTAAGCAAGACTGGCAGCTGTTTCTGTTTGCAGCATTTTGGTCAGGTTCAGCACCTTTTCTTCCTCCTCTATACTTTGGAACTGTTTAAATGTAAAGCCCAAACCCTTAATCACTATGTAAGACTGACTGCATCCCCAGTGTGCATGTAAACATTTAGTAAATTCTATGTGCTTTACAAATGTTAACTGTCAGATGAGGCAGTATCCCAAATGTCCTGGCATAAGTGATCGTGAGAGGAGAGTATTGAGATTAAAGGAAGTGAGAGTTGCCTTGATTGCCCTAGAGCTGCAGGTACCATTTCCATCTCTTGCTCCTTTTTTTAATCCACCATGAAAAACCAGATTTCCGTTCCCATGAGATTCTTATGAATGGAAATCAGGGCTCCCTTCATACATTTTAGATGAGAGTGAGAAGAGGCCTTGGAAGCCCCAATCAGCCTCCTCCATTCTAGGAAGACAGAGACAGGGCCCCAGAGGTGACAGAACGGCCTGAAAGTGTACTGCATGGCTGTGACAGATTTCAAACCCTGGCACACCACTCTGGCCTTATGTTCTTTCTGTGACTCTTAGCTGCCTCTCTTGCAGCAACAGAAGTAAAAACTTCTCAGCGGCCCCAGCAATGGACCCCAGTGCCCCAGTCAGATTTCCCAGACTCATCTCACTTAGGGATTGTGCACTGTCTGAACAGACCGCGGGCCACAGCATGGGGCATAGTAGAAGGAAGGAGGGTGATTTACCCTTGTATCTCACGCAGGCTGGCCCAGTTTTGTCTTGTCCTTCACAGAGGGTCTTTGGCTGCATCCAATCCCATGAACGATTTCTTCTGAACTTTGTCTGCAGAGACACGAATCATGATTGTTACCTGGGAATGCTCTGGAAGTGCTTGTAATGTGTGACAGAAAGTGGCCTAAAAAAGGCTCCCAGGAGGCCTAGGCAGACGGACCACTTGAGCCCAGGAGTTCGAGACCAGCCTGGGCAACACAGGGAGACCCCCATGTCTACAAAAAACACACACAAAATTAGCTGGGCATGGTGGCACACAACTATAGTCCCAGCTACTGGGAGACTGAGGTGGGAAGATCACCTGAACCCAGGGAGGTCGAGGCTGTTAGCACAGCCTTACCAGCCATGATCACACCACTGTACTCTGGCCTGGGCGACAGAGTGAGACTTCATCTCAAAATAAAATAAAAGTCTCCCAAGGTCAAAGATATGTTAAGCAACCCATCGCTCTGCTCCTGTTGGAATTCCTCTTCTCGATTTTGCTGCAAATACCAAGGACTTTGCTCCAGGAAAAATGAAGGCTGGGTCAGGTGTGTCCTCAGCCTCCTGGCTTAATTGGCTTGTTCCTCTTGTAGAGGTGAGAAAACGACCTGGGTGGCAGGGATTCTGACTTAGTCCACGTTACCTGGCAAAGCAACTGTTGAGGGGCAATGTCCTCACTCTAGTGGGGATCTTCCTTGTCAGCTGCACCCACTCTCCTGTATGTTTTGTGGAAATGGCAAACACCACTTTGTTGAGCAATACAAACACTGGCTTCCTATAGCTGCATCTCTGAGAATGTGCTTGAGATAACCCAGCTACCACAATTTCATTTTTGAATTTCAAATACAAATTATATCAGAGCTAAGAGTCCCCTGTGGGAATTTTGGTCCATTTTCAAAGTGGAAAAATAGAAGTCTGCAAGATGAAATAACTTGCTTGAGGCCACATAGTCAAGTACTGGCCGGCTGGGGATGAGAAGCCAGCATGGAACCCATGTGCCCTCCATTCCATTAAGGCTTGCTCTTGGGCAAGCATTTCATATATAAAATTGGGGATTCAGAAGCTCCTCTCCATTTTTAAACTGAAGCGAAAGGCCTTGAGTTCTTAAAGGCCTCTCTGCTTATCAGCGTCATTGGACATAATTCTGATCTATGAAAGCAAAACTACAATGAATGGCTCTTTGCATGATGTTCTACGAAGCACCTCAGAGAAAACAAAGCATCAGGTGGAAGCTAGACGTTTTGCAAACCACCTCTATGTCTAACTTTTCCCTCTTCCCTGTCCTGCTTCTGTCATCCATATATATTCAAGTTTCTCCTGACTGCATTGACTTGATCAATCCCTCACATAAATTCCTGTTTTAGGTTCCGTAACTAGGAAACCTGTCCTGAAACTACTCCTAGCTGCTCTCCCTGAATCCACAGTTGACTGCGCCAATCTGTCCTCCACAACACAAATGTAATCATTCTTTACACAGGCTTAGACCCTGGAAATAATTCCCATTGCTATTGGGATAAACAAGAAGCGTTACTATGGCCTCCAAGGTCTTTGGCAGAGGTCTGGCTGCTGACTTCCCACTGCTCAGCCCTTAGTCACGCTGGCTTTCTTTCTCCCTTTCTTATTCCCAGCTTTCTTCTGCCTCAGGGCCTTTGCACATCTGGTTCTCCTGCTTGGTCTATTTTTCTCTGCCATCATCTCATACCACTGATCCCTACTCACTCTTCAGCTCTTAGCTCAATCACTGCAGAAATATACCCAGTGGGCCTTGGGTTAGAAGTCCTTCCTTGGCTCACATTAGTTCCTGCTACATCCTCCCATAGCAGTTTGCACCTCCTCTCTTAGCATTTCATTTTATTGCTTGTTTTAATGATCTTTGCATTAGACCAGGCGTCCCCAAACTACAGCCCGCGGGCCGCATGCGGCTCCCTGAGGCCATTTATCCGCCCCCGCCCCGCCCCGCCGCACTTCAGGAAGGGGCACCTCTTTCATTGGTGGTCAGTGAGAGGAGCACAGTATGTGGCGGCCCTCCAACGGTCTGAGGGACAGTGAACTGGCCCCCTGTGTAAAAAGTTTGGGGACACCTGCATTAGACTATAAACTCCATGAAGGTAAGGACTGTATTATTATTAATCTTTTTGATTAGCTTAACATGCTGACAGATTGTTATTAATAAGTAAATTTAATTTCTTTTATTGTAATATAAAATATTACAATAATATTTTACAATAATATTGCTCCTGTAATATTCCAAGCGTGTACTAGTTGTTGGCAATACATGCTGTGGGAAATTGATACTGTCCCGGCCCTCTGGGAGTATATAGTGTAGCAGAGAATATAGAAGTAAGTTAAATATACGTCATTTATACTTCATCGTCACAACAGTCACAAGTGCTATGAAAGAAAATTGCAAGGTATTATTATTATTGCTATTTCTTTTTTGAGACAGAGTCTTGCTCGGTTGCCCAGGCTTGAGTGCAATGGTGCTGTTACAGTTCACTGCAGCCTCAACCTCCTAGCCTCAGGTAATCCTCCCACCTCAGCCTCCTGAGTAGCTGGGACTACAGGCATGCTCCACCATGCCCAGATAACTTTTTTTTGTATTTTTCGTAGAGATGGAGTTTTACCATGTTGCCCAAGGTGGTCTTGAACTCCTGGGCTCAAGCAGTCTGCCCAGCACAGCCTCCTGAAGTGCTAGGATTACAGACATGCGCCACTGCATGTGGCCAGCATTACTATTTTTAAAAAACAACGATTTTCATTGCCTGTATCAGAAGATAATTTGCAGGGTATTATCTGACTCATCATTTTATTCCCTTTACCAAGCAAGTCTGATACACAACGAATGCTCAATAAAAATTTTGAAGGATTAAATAAACAACCTGGCTATGTCTTT